CACTGTATATATATATATATATATATATATAATACAATAATGAATTTAATATAAATTAAGCTTTAAAGTTATATTGTACAGTTTATATTAATTTCCAGTCATAACCTTAACATCATAACGGAAATTGTCTGTGGTGATAGCTCTCAAAAACATTGGGGATATCCTATCTATCAGACAAAATCCAAATGCAGATGAAAAACTAGTTAGCAATCTTGGAAAATCAATTAAGGGTTTACAGTTGAGTTGTTATACCCACAACATCTCAGCTCCTACTGCCTTTTGCTAAACTGGCTGCAAAGGTACAAAATTAACAGATGTTATATGCCATATTGATTAATTTGTAGCATTATATAGCCCTAGTAAAACAACAAACAGATCTTCTATAAAGCTAAACAATATGGCAATTTGCAGAAGAAAAGTACGATGACCTTTAATGCTTACCTGAAAATATTACTCAAGTTAGATTGATGCATACTTGTAACATAAAATAACAATGTGTTATCTTTAACTTAATTTTAATGCAAATTGTGCAGTGGAATGTTTGGCATCAATATGGAACTTTTCTGTAAAAAATATTTTAAATCTGACTTGTTACCATCAAGTTTTACTGCAATTAAAAGAAAATTATTGCATATATATTTTGTTTAAGGAACTGAACAGGAAAATCATTATATAAATACTTGTTTTATGTAAAACACACTGCTAATGTCAAAACCTGAGATTAAAATATGTTACAAAAACATTTAATCTTAGAGGCTACAAAAAATTACACATTGTCCTCAGAAGCATATTCATCAGTAACAAGTGTGTATAACAGGACTTTCTATGACCCCTGACTTTTTATATGAATGAAACAAATCATTAATGAAAAATAAATACTTGTTAATTTTTCAACACTGGTAAAATATCAAAAAGTTTATAAGCCTTGAGGTTATTCGTTATATATGGTATCCTAAAGAAATACTAACATACACAAATTGTACTCACATAGGCTGTTCATAAAGGCAGCATGAACTTGTATATCACAAATGCCAATACCAAAATGGAGATTGCTTTATATTCATGACATATAGGAAACATTTGTCATTGGCACTATACTACATCAAGACAGAGTAAAGATATGTAACTTCCTTAAGATTCACAACATATTTCAAATATCAGTTCATTACCTGACCCTTCTGTAGGACAAGGCTCACATGGTTGACCCCAAGCTCGACCCACTGAACAGCAACAAGTCATCTTGGTTTGATTAGCCATCATCGGATGCTCACAAATGAATTGACCATTTATATCAATTGCACGATAATGTCTATAGCACATAGATTTTCTCATATCTATAAATTAAAAACACAGAATATTCAAATGATAACTATGTAATGTCATATGAAGATAGAAATCTTGCTCAACCAAAATATATCTCAGAAATCAACCACAAACACTGTATGCAAAACAGATACTTATATTGATGGAAAGTATAAATAAAAAATTTAATTTGATCTTTTACTTAAAAAATGTTTAAAACTTGTTCTTTTTATTTATTGTTAGGTATCTTTTTGTTAAGCACATATATCCCAATAGTGGTGACCCAGCCCTGACTTTTAATTAATAGATGTGATACAAAACTTGTATGAGCTTCTTTGGTATACCTTATAATATTTCATGGTTGAGAGCAAGGAAAACTAACATGGCAAAAACATTTTCACAACAGGAATATATTTGTAGGTGTTGTAATATTTCCAGTGTTGTAATCTAAGGCCCCAGCTTAAACTTAAATATACACCAAACACTTTTTTAAGTGATGGTAAAGCACCTTTTATACTTACATGTATTTATCAGCTGCCACCATGATCATTCCAAACATAGTCAACATAAATACCTTATAAAATAAATCAAAACCCAGAAATAGACAATTCTTATAAACTATCTTAATTTGCCAAGGTAATTCGACTAATAGCACAGAATATCATAAAGAAGAATAGTTATGAAAAAAGATTATATGAAAGTATAATTTCCAAAAATACAAGTGGAAAAAAACTTTTTTTAAACTTATTTGTCCCCTCCCCCAAATAAAATTATTTCCAGAAATATTATGTAGAATTACAGTTTTTATTAAAAACATGTTAAATTGATCTACAATCCACACATAAGTAAAAACAGTGAAAATAAAATACCTTCTCTATTATATTTAAAGTAAGTGGTAAATTTAAACATTTTAAATTTTTTCATTCCTTAAACTTTAAACTAACTTTTTATATGACAATATGCAGTATATGGGCAAGAATTATCCTTTCTTTAGTATATCATATGACGATCAGCTAATACTATAATCTCTCAAATCCTGTATTTTTGATTTTTTACCTACTAGTTTCCTACAGGTTCAATGTATTCCTTATATTTTTACATACTATATAATCATTTAAGAACACTATTTGCATATTCAAATTACATTTAAACACAAGTGAGAATAAAAAGCACTGCCTCTGTAAATTTTTCAAATGGATAAGATATCTCATATGATTACTTATATGTAAAACTAACAACTAAAGAATCTTTAACAGAAACGACTGTTTTAATTTGTTTTCTCAATTTTTAATAACTAATTCACCACAGTTGGGCATGCATTACCCTTTTTAAATATTTTCTGGAAAAGTGCATAAACTATAATAATAATGCACAGTTATAAGTAAGGTTTGTCACTGACAACTTTTTAAGACATAAGATAGTAAAGAGATGTATATAATGCTGTAACAAAACTGAATGCATGTCGAAGTAACACAACACAGGTCATATACTAGAACTTAATAAATATGTGTGAAAAACCAATAGTTAATGCTCACAAACTCAAGTTTCTTATATTAAGAAAACGAATGAAGACAAATAAAATAATGAAGTATATTTCTCACCAATACAAGTAGGTCTTCCACTAGGAATAAGAACAAAGCCTGGAGGGCAAACACAGGTATAACTTCCAACATTGTTTAAACATGTTCCAGCTCCACAAACATCTGGGTATACTTCACATTCGTCCACATCTAGAGGTTATTAATACAGAAGTAATGGAATTTTATCTCACATTCAACATCATAACTTTTATACAATACATAAGTTAGGAAATATATATCATTACAAATTAAGTTTTGCTATGACCTTAGTGTTGACAGTGAAAAGGTTATATACAAAACAACTTCAACTATGCAAGAATCCTGAATGTAACAAAGATACTATACAAATTTATATGGGTTCAGGATATTAAAGTTAGAAATACTGCAGTTTTCTTCTTTTGTTATGGTTATAGCTCACACACATATTACAATAATTTTAAGGCAAGCAAAATTTACCATTCTAAATATGAAACTTACAGACAAGAAGAGACAATTAATAAAGATGCTCAATAAAATTAAATATATATATATATATATATCACAACCACACTGAAGCTGAAATTTAATAATTGTAATATGCTACTCTTCTTAAAGGATTACAGCATTTGTGCTTTAAAGAACTAAGCTATTAGAAAAGTAAAACATGATATAATATAGAACAAATGATAGACTAATAAGAATATATATATATATAAACACATATACATATATATATATATTTATAGACAAACACACTTATGGTATATTTAAAGTTTCTTGAAAGGTATATATTATTACACTGAGAAAATACTGCAGTATTCCAAAGTTTAATCAAGCATACAGATACCTTATCTTTGGCATAACAAAAGATTTGTGGATCTAGTATGTGTAAGGATACATGTAATGATTTGTTTCAGGTGGTATAAATAAATAAATCATGGCATGAAGCTGAATAATCTTATCAGTCCAAGCAATTAAAATATGAAATCAAATGTAGGATGATTGTTAAGTGGAAAGATCTATTGCATTGATGGTTTTGAAGTTTAAAGTACACTAAATGGATAAAGATGTATGTCAGTAAAAGAAAATGAAAATAAACTTTACTTTGAAACTAAGCTAAAATTGACTGACTTATATTCTAAAGTAAATATGTATAGACATAATAAACAAGTCTAACACCCAAGAAAGGATGGATACAAGAATCCATGAGCTCATTTTAACTCCTTCAAAGCACAAATGAATCTGTTTGAAAATGCCAGAACTTTTCTCACATTTCACATTCTACCTGTAACTGCAAAATCAAAAAAACGGATCACAAATATCCAGAAATATCTTTGCACCATGTAGTTACAGAAGAGTTCCACAAACACTATCCCATGAAACAGTAGATTGCTTCAAAGACTGAATTCTACTATAGTTATGTTTATTGTTGAATTAACACACAACCTCAACTAGATTTAATATTTTACAAATTAGAACATTTGAGAACCAAATTATCATTATAACATTATTAACATTATCATCCAGATAGGACTGCACAGAAGTCAGAGCCCAGTGCCACCCGCCAGGTCCCACCACACGGAAGTGGATGGCCTTCGAAGAAAATTAGAACCACCTCACTCTCAAGATAGAACCATACAGAAGCTGGGTGCAACATCATCAAACTCCAGGACCAACCACATAGAGTTGATGATAAATGAGCCAAAATTGAGTGAAGAAGAGAAAACACAAGCAACACATGTGTGAGGTTTTATGTTGATTGGTCCTGCTGTAAATCCAAAACCAGTCCTCAGGAACTGACACCCATGTGATGATAGGATGAGGGATTCCAATTGAAGGGGTGAACTTCAATGTGACAGATGAACTCCAAAGCAACATCATCTTCTAGAAAAGAGGGCACAAAGGTTGGAGTGCTTAGCAGCCTCCGAGTTCCACCACATGGTCATCTCAACCAATTATATACAACCACACCCTCTAGATAGAACCATACAGAAACTGGGTGCAACATCAACCCTCGAAGACCACTGGAACACACGATTGGAGGACCAAACACCATCTACACCAGCAGAACAGCCTGACTGAAGAATTTCTTCAAACAGATGACTGAGGTGAGATTCCAGGGTAAAGGAAAGGTGCCTGATCTGATGCAACAACTCAGTGACCAAGGTTGACACAGAAGGGATGGGGTAAGAAGATAAATATAAAGATACCGTTTGGTCCAATCCTGACTGAGTGCATGGACAGCTAGGGCATTTAGATGAAGAACTGGAATCCAAAAAAAAGAGATAATTGGTACTGAGGAAAGTGTCAAATGACCCAAGCTGGAAACATAGCCACTAGAAAACCTGATGATGAGAGACCATTCCGTGGGATAAATTTGGTATGGTCTGGAAAGACGATCTGCCATGAGTTTGAAAGTAGCCAGAACATAACACGCAAGAAGATGTATCCCAAGCATGGGGTCAAAAACAAGGAGATCCAAGGTTCAACTTCAAAAGGAATAAGAATATGTGCCCCCTGGGTGATTGATATAAGCCACTATTGTAGAATTGTAGGAATGGACCATGACAAGTCAATTCCTTACAAGAGGAAGAAAGTGATCCATATCATATTGTACTGCCAGAAGCTCCAAGATGTTGAGATGGTAAGACTTCTTGGCCATAGATCATTGTCCAGAAGCCTCCTGTTGATCGACCCATGCATACAAACCATGGAGGGAAGCATCTGTGAAGAGATAGAAATCTGGAAGAGTGGAGGAAGTAGTACACCCGACAAAATGTGTGTCTTGTCCAACCACCAATGCAGATCGTCAATGAGGGAAGGAGGAAGAGAATGGGAGAATCCAAGGGATCCCAGGCAAGATCTCATTGGCCATGCACATTCCACTGAAGAGACTACATATGTGCCTGACCCAAGAGGATAAGTACTTCCAAAGAAGCTTATGTCCCCAAATGCAATAGGACCTCATGAGCAAAAAGAGGAGCAGCAAGGGCTTGGAGAACTGAAAGCCCCATCAAACGGAGTTGAAGAGGAGAAGGTTGGGCTTGACTGACGTGGATGTTGAAAAAAAAACACCCAAGTGGATAAGGTACTGGGTTGGTAACATGAAAGACTTCTCCAACTTGATAATCCAACCTACTTGAGCTGCTTTTATCAGAAGCAGATGAGTGTGTTGTAAACACATCCAGTTTGGAATGAGCTAATAGAAGCCAATTGTCAATGTAGTGGTGTAAGTGCAACCTCCAAGCATGCATAAGTCAGGCAAATGCTTTGACCACCCGACAAAAGACATATGGAGCCAGAGCAAGCCTGAAGAACAAAGCGTGGAACTGACACACAACCCCTTGGTGCAAAGATAGTATCTTGATTGATGAGAAATAAGAAGATGGAGATAAGCATTCGAGATGTCCAACTTGGTCATCCACAGTCCTGGAAAAAACCTACCTTAGTGTAAGAATGGACTCCATGGTAATATGGGAAAGATCCAAAAATTTGTTGAGGCAGAACAGATTGATCACAGGATGCCAGATTCCAGTTTTTTTGAGTACCACAAAAAATCCTGGATTAAAAACATGGGGAATGATGGCTGACAGGCTTGGTAGCTCTCTGTGATAGAAGTGACCATACTGCCTTGGACAGACATCAACTGGTAGTAGGATCCCAAAGTAACAAAAAGGATATGGGTACTGAAGACAACTGGGGAGGGGAAAGGAATTTAATGAAAAGTTATCCAGAACAAAACCTGGATAACCCAATGATCAGCAGCAAATTCCCACCAAATGTTGACAAAATTGGTCAAACGAGTCCCTAGTGGACTGGAACACACAGAATAGTCACCAGTACTGCTGGCACCGATTAAACCTACATCGAGAAATATGAGAAATGGTGGAACCCTAGTGATAGAAACAAGTCAGGGTCAGTCTCCCTTACAGTCAACAGTGATTCTAACAGCTGAGAATCAAGAAAAGGGTAATCTGCCTGATGGTAAGCCAAGGCAAAATGATCCAAGACCTGTGGAGGGCAAGGTATGCTAGCACTCGCTTGTAACTCAGAAACAAAATGCTCAGCATGAGCCCTGATGTTAGGAGGAGAGATTATAAGAAATCAGAAAGTGCATAAAATGGTACACCTGAGATAGGCCTAGCAGATTCCACAGGAAAGGCTTGGGAAGGTACGGCATAGTCAGGTGGAGGAAAAAGGTTGTCAAAATCTTCATTGCCACAAACAGGTTTGGCAGATTCAGGAGAAAGTCTAGCAATAATGGTAGAAGAAGGTCGACTCATGTAAGGATCAATCTCCTGACTAATGAAAGCCGAAAATTCCTCAGTCTAGTTATCCCAACTTGAAGCCTGTGTAATTGTGCTGGAAGTGTTGGTAGAACCTCCAAAGTGGTAACATGAACTTTGGAACTCATTATATTAATGCAAAACAACAGAAATAAACTGTAGTAAACTGAGGAGCTGCCGAACGAGAAGTGACAGTTTGGTAGAATCAAATAGAGAGAGTCACATGCGTCAGGAGGGTGTGTTACACTCCTATTGGTAGGGGGTTGTTCGCATGATGATTTACATGCAAAATGCAGTTGAACCATGATGATTGTGGGGTATGCAGGAGTGCAGAGCTTGTGGCATGCAAAACTTTTATTCATACAGAGAGCAGCACTGAACGAGAATAGCTTAATATAGCTACATATGTGAGAAAAGGTAATGTACTGTATTGGAATTCTCCCTTTCTGAAATACATTTAGGCATTAAAGATACTACCTTTAATTACAATATGTATGTAAAATATTTCATTACATATTAATCTAATTATTTGTTAGTTGAATTTCATGCAAAGCTGAGGGCTCTCTGCATTACTGTCCCTAATTTTGAAGTGATAGACTAGAAGAAAGGCAGCTAATCAACACTACCCATCCACCTCTTACTCTTGGGCTACTTATTCACTACCAGTGAATAGTGGTAGTGGCTATCACATTATAATGCCCTCACAGTTGAAAGGGTGAGCATTTTCAGTGATAGGATTATATTCCACAATACTCAGATTATGAACTGAGTGCCAAAACCAACAGACCATGAGAAATCTATTTGTGTTAAATGGCTAACAAGATTAATTATCAAAGCTGTTAAGTCTTCTTACAATAAGCAAATATTTTGATAGTTTTAATGATTATCCATTGCTGTTTGATGTTTACCAGATTTAAAATAATTTTGTAATGAATCATTCTTTTCATCTATTTACATTTACTAAATATATAAATAACCAATAAGAGGTACATTGTGTATATTAAATTTTTTTGTACTTAGCAGAATATTAAAGAATTAACTTTGCAGAAGTCTGTTAATATAGTCAAACTGTTAGTATTTTTACAAAGCAACAAAGTTTACGGTACTCAGCAAGATAAGCCTTTTATCCTCAGGAATTGTTCCAAGAATATTTAATGTACAAACTTGAAAATACAGTTCAGGATACTAACTAACAAATGGCATATTTGTAATAATCAAAGGTATTCTAGATTAGTAAATACACTATTTACAATATTTCTTTGTAAAAAGAAACATTAGAATCATCATACCCCCCCCCCCCACTCACCTCATATACATACCTATACAGTTTCGTTTAGAGCCATCTAGCTTAAAGCCCTCAGGACAAATACACATGAAGCTTCCAAAGGTGTTTGAGCATCGTCCTTCTTCACATATCCCTCTCAGTTCTTCACACTCATTGATATCTATACATTAAACATAAAATTAAAAAAGTATAATAAAAATCTATCTAATTTTGAAAATGTGAATGTGTTTGTTATACATTGGCCAAACTAAAAGAAATTCAAAATTTAGAATGAATGAACATAAAAGAAATGTTAGAAAATCATAAAAGTGAAAGCTCTGCACTGGCTAAACATGAAAGTCATACCAATTATATTATTCAGGGGTAAAAAAAATGTTATTTTTAGCTTAAGGAAAAGATACAACTAGAAATATCAGAAAATGTATAGAAATGATGGAACACATTAAAGATAATTATCATATCTTGAATAAGGATGAAGGGTTGGCAAGTCAGAAAGCACACAGATTCAGTTTGTAAATTAAGTAGTAGTATTGGATCGCATGGCTAGTGGTTTTGGTATATGTGGTTTGCACCAAGTTTTTAATTCTTTACTCACAAAGATGACATTACTGAATGTCAAAACACATAGTGTATGTTTTGAGACCATTGATGGTCTCAGAACAGTTTTAAATTGTGTACTGAAAAAAATTGATTATTTGAATGTTTTAATTTTCATTTCTTTGATTTATTTACCACTTATGCATATTATAAACATAAAGATTTGATATAAAGTGCAATCTTGAAATACTTTAAAAGATTTTATTTAGACTTTTACAAGAACAAGAAAAACAAGCTTCATGTGAGCTAATTATTTACCTTCTAAAACTACTGTAAGTTGATTAGGTCTAAATCCAGGGCCTTCTGGACACAAAGCTTGGTATTCAGCTGAAAAAAATAAAAAAGATAACTATTTACCTGATACACAGCTAATAAAAGAAGTAATATTTTTATAGTATATATATATAGAAACTGTGAATCCTATGAAAAATAAAGTGCCTTTATCTAGCAAACTTACAGAAATAATTGTCAGGGCCTGACTTAGAATGTATTTTAGTATAAGTGAAATTCCAAAAGAACTTACTAAGCTGTTGAGTAATAAATTAATCTTGCCTAAAAAGTTTAAATTACATTTGTAAACAAGTAGGATGGAAAAAAAAATTGGTTTTGGAATGCCTGACTACTCTTCCTTTTTAAAATAAAAATGTCAAAGTGTAGGCTGTAAATAGCATAAAGATTGTTGAAATATATAAACAGTCCCTTTTTTTTTCTTTCTCATAACAAAGTAAGTCCATTCTATAATGAAGTAAATGGTAATATGCATCTAAACATAAAAATGAGCTTTTGACAACAAGCTACAAAATCATACTAGTTGATAAAAGTTTAGGTAACAAGATTTAATTGGTTTCAAAAAATACAAATAAGTTAAACAAAGCTTTATGAGAGTAAAAAATATTTTGCTTACAAGAGTTATGTGGAGGACAAAGGTCACAAGTTGGACCCCATGCTACTCCTACACTACAGCAACATGTAGCTTTAGTCATTGGTTCTCCAAGACTTGTACGACACACACCTCTTCCATAGTAGGTGTCAGACACTTCCATATAACACTGGCTTTCACGCTTATCTATTTCATTGTAATAAATAAAAAGCTTCACAATCAACTCGTAAGAGAAATATAAATGTATGTGTGTGTATATATAGTTGAAAACAGAATAACTGCTAAAGAAGTTTATAATTTTACCATCATAATTGATGGTAAAACTTTAACTGTAAATCTCTATTCCAAGTGTAGTTTTGGAAACTTTGAAAATAATGTAGTATACAAAATATTAGAATATACCTCTGAATAAAGCTGTCTTTTTTTAAGCCAAATTTATACATACTTAACTTGCTTGATTTTATTGGCATAATAAAACATTAGTTGGATTAAATGATTTATATAAAAAATTTCATATTTGCATTTAATATTTTTTAAACCATTACATACAGTTACTCCATTATTAGAAGCATACTTTTTACAGTCGTTAAAAATAATAATTTAAAATAAATTACCAATACATCCTTCTCCATTAGGGGCCAATTCATAGTCAGGTGGGCACTGACATAGAAAAGACCCTGGTGTGTTGATGCAAGTACCATATCTACACTTCTGAGTGTTTTCACATTCATCTATATCTGGTATTTGACAAACAAACAGTCTTGTTAAAAATAAAGCAACAAGTAGCCTTAAAAACTTAACATATCTTGTATGTTATTATCAAACTGTAAATAGTACCATAGCTCTTTCACTTATCAAATCATAAATCTGGTTTTAGAGACATCTGATTTTAATTCAATGTTAAATTATGTTTTAGGAGCTTGAATTTAAAATAATGATAAATCATGCTTTAGAAGAACTTGATTTTAATAACATTATAAATGTTTCAGAGGTATCCAATCTCAACAAAATGATAAAAGACGTTTTAGGTAAATTTGATTCTATTTTAAATAACTGATCACAATATTTATTATCTTACTCATTAGCCAAGACCTTAATCTTTATTGAGGATATACTTGATTAATTAATCCTTTTTTAATTGTTCATGGCATAGGTAGGTAGGTTAGGTAGAAACTTTAAAATGCATGTACATTATTTTCAATCATTTTATATATTATAAGTAGAGATTCTTACTCTATTAAATTGTTAAAAATTGAAAATGATACTCTTATATGTTACCAGGTTTTCTTATTATTTCTGTTATACAAAGGTAAGTACTCCCAGAAATATTCCACCATCCATACTTTTAAACAATAATATGAAAAAAGGATAAAAGGAGTACAATGTTAAAATAATTACACAATAAATAAGTGCCATTCTAAATTATATTTATTCAATATTTTCCTTTAAGTATAAGTATCTATAACTTACAATAACTATGTATATGAGGATAGTTAATATTTTCTAACACTGAAAATGTATTTCCAAAAGGTACTTACCTCTCTCTCTCACCCATAGCTATCTCAACCTTCATTTGCCCTCTAGGCATTGGTAAATCTTATGAACAGAGCACCAGTCATTTATACCCCTATATTTTTGGGTCATTGCAGCATGTGCTGATCATGTGACCACCCTCCACCAATCCCATTGTGCCCTTTATACTAGTAAATACATCCAGGGAAAGTGCTTTGGATGGATATCAAGATAGCCAAGTGAGGTCTACCCAGACAAAAACATCTGGGGGAAGCCCCTGGTATAAATTGGATTATGTCAAGTGTAGTCCATCTGGGCAAAAACCATTCAATGGAAGTTCCTTGCATAATAAACGTAGTGTCATAATGTGTGTATAATAGGCAGCATAACGATGACAGCCCTCTTCTCATTGAGCGAGTACATATGGCTACAAGATTTTGCTATTGTACAAAACCCACTCATGAGGAAACCTCCACGGTCCACCACTCCAGCTATTAGGAACCAGAAGTGGCAAGGAATCCCATGCTCTACCAGAAGAAAGAAGAGAAAAGATGCATTGGGAGTCTGAAAGAATGATCCACTGCAGACAGTACAATGGGTGTCGCATTTACCTATTTTGAAAAGCAGAAAAACCTGGAATATAAGAATCACAGGTCAATAGGGATGGGCAAAAATCCCTATCTGCTTTATTCAAGAAGTCCAAGAGTGACAGTCCTCAGGAGATATAGATACACCATCGGAAAAGCGTCTGATGGTCTTACAGAAACACCTAATCTCCACAGTGAGCGTTAGTGAGTGTCATGAAAATAATGTATTGGGATTTGTCCACATTCCCACTTATACAATCTCCTCCTGACAGAACACATAAGGAGACAAGACAAGACCAAACAATAGTGCATGAAACTGGTATACATCCTCCCTGTGGACGAACCAAAGATAATGACATGGCTCCTGAGCAATGGGGATATGAAAGTAAGCATCTGTCATGTTGAATTTGGCCATGCAAAGACCCAGGGGAAAAACTCACGGAAGAGAAAGAGGTAGAATGGATCCATGGTGAATTGGGGTGTGTCCAAAAAGACATTCAGCCAGGATAGATTGATAATAGGTCTCAAATCTCCTGTCTTTTTGGGAACAACAAACAAACAGGAGTCAAAACCCAGACAAACAGGCATCACATGTTCAACAGCACCCTTGTGAAAAAGATCAAGAACTGATTCTGTTAGATGACTGGACAAGACAAGATGTCGAGGATAAGGAGGAAAAGAAACTGGGAAAGAGGACAGAGGAGGAGGGGACTGGAACTGAATGCATGGGCCCTCTGACAGAACCCGTAACTCACATGGATCCATCGTGAAGGGTTTCCAGATGACAGAAAAGAGTTATAACCTGGCCCCCACCACCCATGGAAAGATATCCTATCACTGATAATGGTGAGGCTGAGAGGAACAGGAATGGGAAAACAGGCATAAGGAAAGGAATGCCAATAGTAGGGAAAAAGGTGGGGCAAAGAAGAAAAGGGCACTCAAACAGGCAAAGATTGAGCAGAATCAGTAGGGCAAAACAAATGAGAAGTAAGGGAGAACAAAAAAGAATGCAAACTCACCACATTGACCCTGGACTCTAAAGACTGTTTCATGCAGAAACAGAGCCTGACAAAGTTCCAGTAATGTTGAAAGGAGGAGATGCACCCTCACAAGTACCACATTTCTCCTGAGTAAACCCCAACAACACAAAATCCAAGTGGTGAGGAACAAGGCTGAAGCCAACAACTGGGCCATAGGAGTGACCGTAGATTGGCTGAAAACTGATCAAGAGACTAGTGGTAGGCCTGAGACAACAACTATAAAGAGGAAAAAACATGTCAAATATTGGTCAATGTAATGCGAATCATAGTAAACTGGGACCTATTAAAATGAACCAAAGCATTAGGATTAGAACCTCACAAGGGAAGTAGAGGATCTAAACACTGAGAATCCAAATTGGGATTCAAGGGACGTTGGTAAGCAAAAGAGAATTGGTCCAAAAGCCGAGGGGGATGAGGCACACCCACTACTGACTGTACTTGAGCAACAAAACCTCGAGCATGCACAAGAATGCTGATAGAGGAAGGAAAATAATAAAAATCAGAATGAGGCTCTTTTCCCAGCAAGAAAGAAGTAGAAAAAATCAGGGCAAAAGGGGAGACACGTAAAATTTGATAAACCTGATCAATACGGTGTAAAAAAGACATGGTTGGCAGACTCTTTTGACTGTCAACATTATGTGACTGGCCAAAAAAAACGGGGCAGTAAAAAACGAGTCGCAATTGCCCCCCCCCCGAGAAAAACTTCCTCAGAAGTGTGGTCCTAGGGGAAGGGAGAATGAGCAGAAGAAGCAGCGAAAGCATCCAATTAACATCTGATTTAACACCTGAATCTCCTTGGTTGACATTGGCAACTCGCTGAGCTGAGACTAGTGACATGAGTTTCGTCCATATTGGCAGGAACTTCTTCATCCATCACATGAGAATTCATATTAATAAGTCCATATAGGGGTATAAAAGACTGGTGTGCTGTGCATAAGATTTACCAATGACTAGAGAACAAATGAAGGTCGAGATAGCTATGGGGAAGCATAGTTAGTACCGTTTCGGAACTCCTTTTATACTAAAGTTACTAAACATGTATATATTTTGTCTTTCTGTTATATATACAGTACAAAACTTTGAACTGAATAGAATCATGAGAGGTATTAGAGTATTTCCACATCATTAAGCAATGTGTTTAATACTACACATTTCTTCTTTTCTTTTAGCAAATCAAATAAATTGAATTGTGAATGGTTGGAATATACACTGAAGCTGACAGATGCATTAGCAAATAGAAATATACAAAGATGTAATATTGTTACATCACTAAAGTTATAGTTTATATATATATACATATATATTTGTTCATTTATTTGAAATGGCAAACAAGATTCAACCCATTTTCTGAACAACTACATTTATATTACAGTTGGTGTTACATGGTTTTCCAACCTTACTAATTTGCACAATATTCTAGTTTAGTACAGTTTTCTGCTAACCTGTGCAATTTCCTCCAGAAGAGTCGAGCTGGTAACCTGTTTCACACTGACAGCGGAACATTCCAAATACATTCTCACAACGACCAAACACACAGATGTTGTGAAACATGCTGCATTCATCAATGTCTAGAAAACATGTGAAAAATCATTCTTAATGAAAATATTTTTTTAATTTACTGCTGTCTAAAAAGTAAGCCACATTCTTTCCATACATTTTCTGATCCTGTCTATAATTAAAGCTAACAAATTATTTTTATCAGGAAATGTAACAAATATTAAAAAAAAGCATATTGTTACTTGTAGAAAGTAAGACTTCCAGAAATCTTTACTGGTAGTCTACATATTCAGTTATAATATTCATTGACCAAACTGCAAGATGTTGTGAAACATGTTACATTCATTAATGTCTAGAAAACATGTGAGTCCTGTTTATAACTAAAACTAACAACTTTTTATCAGGAAGTGTAACTATATTGTTATTTGTAGAAAATAAGACTTCCTGAGATCTTTACTGACAGTTTATATATTCAGCATGCAACATTTACTTTGGGAAAATACCAAAGAAAATCCAGATATCTGCATTAAAAATGTGAAAATAATATAATAGCTAAACCTTGTTAGTTTAGACTATGCTTTGTATGCAAAGTAGTAGCTTTTAATAATTTCAAAATTTCTAGGGTTAAGTGCAAGCTGCTGTAACATGGTGTATGATACTGGATATATTCTCAAAAGTTGATTTAAGTATTTTTTTCTATTAAAATGCAAAGGCATCTAATCTGTAAATTAAAAAGATTTGATTCTAGTATCTAGGTTTAATATATATTTTAATTATACCTCTGGATATACATATATCAGATTCATTTTTATTATTTTCCTACCTCCTTGTGAAACAATTCATAATTGAACAGTTCAATAAAATGTATTTTTCTAAATCAAAATACTTTGCTATGAAACAATCACATTTTAGCTATAACAATCAAAAGTACCCGTCCCCAGTGACAGGAAAATTTTAAGTTAATCTATCAATTTAAATTATTTCCTGGAGTTTAAAAAGGTTAATTGTGTTGCACTCTTGGTTTTTCTCAGAGCCAAAGCTCTGAGCTATTTATATCACCCACCACAAAAGTAATTATTGAGTATTTCAATTACGCTAAGAGCCGCTCAACAATAACATACAGTAAAGCTACATTTTCATTCCTTAAGTTATGTCACATTTTGAAATGTGAATGATAATGTGATTAATTTCTAACACTTTAGTGTAGAATATCCTGTTTGTGAAACAAAATTTGGCGTCAACACTATTCATGCGTGTTCTCCCATCATTTCAAAAGTGTATGTTGAGCTTTGCCTGCTTGTGCAGCTTTTCAAAAAGGAGAGAGACAAATGCTCAGACAGACATCATGGTTCACAATACAAATATATAAAAGATGATGTAATCTACAACCAAGTTAATGGAGTTACCATGGGTTCAAAGTTAGCATTAGCAATGGTTAACTTGCATGTGCTTACATATCACATGGATGAATTTTCCGAGATTTTTAAACTACTTGATCATAGGAGGTATGCTGATGAGACTTTTGTAATCTTTAAATGAACAAAGTAATGTTTCTCTGTTTCAGCAGTATTTTAATAGCAAACATTGTGATATTAAATTTACAACAGAACATTAGGTCTCTCTCCTCATGTATAACAGAACACTTTTACTTTCAAAATTTGAGAATATATCAAGTATTGCACACCTTGTTACAACAGCTGGCAACACTGATTTTAACTGTAGTCCTTGTAAGATTATAAGTACAGCCCCAAAATATAATTAAAGAGAATAGAAAGTCTGTTGATTATTCATTTAAAGCCTAATATGTACCAAGAACGTTCAGCTGTTACAACTGTAATACAAACTTTTGTTTTTTTTATGGCAAAGCTGCTAAAGCTATTTGCCACTGTCCCATTGCCACTTTTCAAGTCACCGTCTGTTTAGTAAATAGTTTTTGTATTGATTATAACTAAAGTAATATTTTATGGACTACTGTAAGTTTATGCAGCAGGTCTCACAACTAAGTCTGGAAATTCAGATTAGTTTCAACTGTAAAAGTACGGTGGTATAAATACCAGTTTTAAAGGATTTTAACACAGCTAACTATTAATATAATATTTTACAGGCTTATAACACAATCTTATGAAAACATACAACTGAGTATTTTTCAGATGTACATATGAAGTTTGAAAATAAGAATCTAGAGGAATGGAATAAAAAAACTTTATATTTTATGAAATTAATAAATTGAAAACATAATTATATGAGCTAACCAAATAAAATAAAACACTGTATTGAAAAGAAACGTCAATGTTATTAAACTTGTTATATGATTTGTTAGGAAAAAAAAATAGGTACTTATTTTAAATAATCTATTGTTACTGTGACAAAATCTTCAATATTAGACATTACTAGTACTAATTATCTAATTAGTAGTGTATTGTAATTTATATAAAAATATAATGTTCTAAATAAATGTATGTTTTTAGAGATTACTTTCTATCTTTGTTTTAGAATATTTTACTTTAAAGCTACAGATAGGACTATCTGTACAAAGCCATTCCTAATGTTGACTTGATAGATCAGAGGAAAGGCAGTGCTAGTCAACAGCTCTAACTGCCAACTCTGACTGAATAGTGAGATTTAATCATCATTTCTATAGTGTACCATGACCTAAAGTGTTGAGCATGTTTGTGTAGCAATAAGCCATGTATTACGATCCCTCAAATTCACAGTTGAATCACACCAATCAATAGCCCACACCCAGCCCAAATATTACTTTTACAATAATGTTTGAAAAAAAAGTGGAACAAGCAAAAGGAATCTGTGTTGTTGTCATGACATTAGATGAAACAAGTTTATAAATTCTAGACGCCATACAATCAAGTTAAAAGCTATACATAAATATACTCAAATAATGTTTTGTAGTTCCTTGTTTTATCAATATCAAACACACACACACATCATTAAAAGACTTTCTTTATTCTTGTCAATCTGCACTTTGTTTTATTTATTCATCCTGGATGAACCAAAAACAACTACTGAGGAAGTAAGGTGTGTACTGTACCCATCTAAAGGTATTAAATTCATTTTCTTGAAATGTAAAATGTTGTTATAATGTGATAATAATGAGCACAGTTAATCTTACTTAATTAGTATGCATGCATAAGAAACCTTATTTCAGTCACAGTCAATTTTTAGAAACAAAAATTAAAATCACAAATCGAAAATTTAGATAATAAATAAAGCAGTAGTAGCAGGTTTTACAAACTGTTTATTTTGTGAAAAAAATAAAGCTGTAATTTATTGAAATTAAAAAGTTGAAAAAGTACTAATGTTCATTATCTGAAGAAAGAGAAACAGTGAAAATAATTTAAGTTAAAATTCTTTTGTTATAAGCTCAATTCTAACTGGATAACATGTCACTCTTAAAAACAAAATACTTATTTTACAACATACAAAAATATGTGAGAACAGTGTAAAAAAAGTATATGTAAAAACTGCAATTACATGTCTTTCCTATTACTACCTAACAGCAGAAAGGCATCAGATTTAAACATATTTTATTTTTCACATACAATGTACTTTCATCTTGATATATTTAACTATTACATAAGTAGAAATGACACTTAACTGAAAATAATTTTACTCTGTAGAATTCAAAAGTTCGATTACAATATAATAATAATTGTATCAGCAATAAATATGCTACATTACCATAAGTAGTTCAATGAACTAATTACCAACACAAGCCTTTTCATTATTCTCAGGAGCAAAACCCATTTCACATTCACAACGGTAACCACTAGGATAATTGAGACATTGACCATTCTCACAGAGGGAAGGGTTGCGAGTGCACTCATCAATATCTGTTTGGGAAGAAGAGATTAACTAGACACACATAATAACTGAACTCCTTGCCCCCAATTTTCATCATAAAATATATATACTATAGCATGTAACAATTTTATTAGAGCTAAAACATATATTTCCAAGACAAATAAAGAATAGAATTTTCCTGTTAGATATTAGAAAATTAATCAATGTATCTAATTAACGACAAGAATAAAAAAATGAAGAAAAAACAAAAAGTAATGAAGTGAAAAAAACGTTAATGTTTTTATTTAACTCTTCGAAATTCTGGAGGTATCCTATAAATTATCGAAAAAAATTCATTAAACAAAATGAATGTACAGGCTTGACATTTCATAGGAGTTATCCTGGCATCTTAATTACAATGATGCTAGGTTAATTCTGGTAAAATATTGATGCCTTTTCAGGTTTTTTACTACAACAGTCTTTTACTGGATGTAGCAAAGGCTAAGAAAAAACAAGGGTTGTTTTTGATGGCTACATGTCATTATGAAACATCCACATTAGTAATTTTCTTTTCAAGGTTCAAAATAATAAGTATTAATTAGAGAGCGTACTGTTTTGTTATCAAACTAAAGGTAGTAAAGCAGAAAGTGTGAAATCAAGCCTTGCACTAGTTGAGTAGGAAATTAGTTTAATTATTTTTGATGTTATTAATTGATCTTAAATACATCTTTATGTTTAGAAAAGTCATTATTTAAACTAATTCTTATTATTGTGCACTGTATGGATTACTTTCATCTAAATATAGTGCTAATATAATGACCAAAATAAACACTTGCCTTGGCATCTTCGACCATCACCTTTGAAACCTTCATCACACACACAGTTAAAGGACCCTTCTGTATTTACACAGCTAGCATCAGGATCACAGCCCCCATTATTTCTTAGGCATTCATTTTCATCTGTACAAAGCATTAATCTCAGCAATTAAAAATAAAATTATATGTCTAAAACTTAAGTTTTCATTATAATCTTGATAAGTAAAATTGATAAAAATATCACAAGCTATAACAAAAAATGTTCACCTCAATAATTCTTTTAAATATATACTAAACACATAACACTAATAATACTGACATCTTAACTAACAGTATTCAACACACTAACCTTGACAATCAGATCCATCACCACGATAACCAGTAAGACATTGGCAATGGTATGATCCCTGCGTGTTAACACACTCAGCATTAATGTCACATGATGTACTCACTTGAGAGCACTCATCATCATCTAAAAAAGAAAACAAGTTAGAAGCTGTTACATATACATATCTTACACAGCTATATTAACTAGTAGATGAAATGAATCAATATGCACAGAAATATTGGATCTTTCTTTAATACCAAGTCAAAAATGTTAACTAGTTGAAATCAACAGAACCTAAAATTGGGTTCGTAATTCTTAGCTACAAACAGCTTTGTTTGTAAAATTATATCATTAGATTTTCCTTGATCACATTTGCTAGCATTGTAAGATAATAACCTAAAAGATTCCTTGATCAGAGGTACTAATATTGTAAAATACTATGACTAAAATAATTCTTGATCACAGTTATGAACACTGTGAAATAATATGACTAAAACAATCCTTGATCACAGTTATAAACACTAAAATAATATGACTAAAACAATCCTTGATCACAGTTATAAACACTGAAATAATATGACTAAAACAATCCTTGATCACAGTTATAAACACTGTGAAATAATATAACTAAAACAATCCTTGATCACAGTTATAAACACTGTGAAATAATATGACTAAAACAGTCCTTGATCACAGTTATAAACACTGTAAAATAATACCAATAAGATATTCCTTGATCACAGCTACCAACTTTGTAAAACAATGAGACAAACAATCCTTGATCACACTTACCAACATGTTTCAAATGTGTTCTTTATTAAAAAAAGGTAGCTGTTTAAATGTTTTTTCCACAGAGAGAAGAGTTAGTATTCTGAACATCATTACAGGCAAAATATTTAACATTCTGATTCAGCTATGAAACAAAAATTTAACTTTTTAAATATTCTTGCTAAAGCATACAGACTACACAAGTTAAGTTTAATATATCAGCATGTCATGGCATGAAAATTCAAATAGTGATGCTGATATACAATTTTATTCACTTACAAGTCTAAAGGATATTTAAATCAGGTGATAATAACCGAGGAGAAAGCATCTTTTTGTAAATATAATAAAGAATTAAGGAGTGGTATCAGATTAGGGTAAAGATACACAACATTGCTGATGACTGATACAAGTACTATGGCTTGTAAATTGTCCATCAACAATGATATATATATATATAAAAGTGATTGTCATTCATTCTTAAAACACTACTGAATAAGTGGTTCTATTTCACCTAGACAGCTTCTAAAAACACACACAGGGTAAATGGACCTTGTAGAAGTACAGATATTGTGATATATAAGCATGCCATGTGCTTTATACCTCCTTGTTTTAATACAGGAATTTTTAAAATTTGTTATTTGCACAGGTATGTTCAGTTTCCACATAACAGGCTGGTCAAGAAGGTCATTAAGTTGCCTTTGTTATAACTAGCTATTGTTTTGTGTCAATCACCTGGAGTAGTAACTATATCTTTCTTATATGACATTGACCATAAACACAGAGAAACTGTGCGTGTGTGGTGTTTTTTAAATCAAACAAAGCTTACAATTACAATTTTATATAGAAAAACTTTATGGGAAAATTTTACAACAGTCTAGAAATAAATAAAAATCAGTAATCTACAAAAAAAGGTGAGCATTTTTATTGTTTTTTAAAATACATATCACAGTGGGATGTTTTCCAATTTTCAAATCTGTACAAATATCACATATAAAAAATAACACATTTTTTCCATAAGCTACATTATCTGTAAAAAGTTAATCTCAAGTTTCAAATTATTTCAGCTACTAGTTTTTCTTCTGGAAAACAATACAACAAACCATACAATAGTGAAGCATTTGTGGCAGTTTGAGGCATTTCACTAATTCCAAATGTTTCAAGAATTGAGAAAATATCCATGTCACAAAAGTTCCAAGCATGGCACAGATATGCAATAAGAAGAAATATTGTGCACAGTTAGTGATTGCATAAGAGAAGTTATATAACAACGATTGACCAAGAAAGGGAAAGTATGTCAAGTATAAACCAAAGATACATTCTTGTTCATATTGAAAAATAAATGTTTATATTCTCTATAAACCAACGCTATCACAGTCATGAGAATATTTATGTAAACTTCATTAGAGAGTGGACACGAGATCCATATCTATAGACTGATGCCATCACAGCAGAGACAAAGCTATTAGAAAAGGGATTAGTCAGAACTTTAATGTAAGATCCATGTCAAGAAGATGGGGAGAGAGAAATATGCAAACAAGCTGTGTTCAACTGTAATCAATTATTGAAGTATTTTTGTTTTTGGTTCCGAGAATCACGATGAGTTTCCAAAAATCATCCAATTGAGTGTCAGATCTATTTGCGGGATAAATATGTACACTATTTGGAAACTCGTAAGGATACCAGAAGCTTTGATATAAGAATCCCTGTTTTAGGCTAAAAAGTCAGTCTCCCTGGCGTGGAAGAATAATCCACTGATCCTACTGAAAGATACCAAAGATGATGAAGACTTCAGTTCTTCAAAAGATTCAGAACACTACTTCGACCTTGAGGTAAGTAAAGATTGCTATTTCTCTTAGAATCAAATAATGTAGTTAAGAACTGAAGATTGAATGTACACAAAAAATCTAATTTGTAATGAAGTATTTTTACTAAAGATTTGTTTGTGAAAATATCGAGTGTTTCGTTACTAGTCCAAGTGTGAAGTGATTTTCATGTTATGATTAAAAAGCTATTCTTTGTCTCCAAAATCTCAAATATTATTTGTCTTATCTTTAAAACTTCCTAAATACATTTCAAATGTTTGTTTTCAGTAAAAAATTATATTTTGTTAGTTAATTTCTCTACCCTAAGTATACAGGGTCTGTCAATTTGACTGACCTTGTAACCATAATAAATTTGGAATTAAATGTAAATTATGCTATTTTCGTTCTAGAATGACTACAAATTATAACATGAAAACACAAATGTTTAATCTAAGTAGCTTAAATCTCATAACATTATACATTTATATATATTTATTATCTTTTTATACTGACCTTCCAGTTGTACCTAGCTAAAATTACAGAAGTTGCAATGATGCAGTACATGTGCACTCATGTTACTGTATCCATGAATATAAAACAAGATTTATTGACTGACGCCATCATAGCAGAGAGAAAGCTATGAGAAAAGTTTATATTAACTTATATTTACTATTTAAATGTAAGTTCTTAAATTTATTTTTTTTAAAACATAGAACAGTAAATAAAGAAGTATAGCAAAACATTATCTCTTCTAGTTATGAACTATGTACTCATTTGTGGTTTGCCATAGGTTGCTAAGCCTTATCATATTTCACACGTGAAGAATATGAAACAAAATAATGGCTGGAGACGGCTTGAATGGGTAATGAAGAAAAACTTTAATACAACAGCAAATGTACAACGTTTTGACATCAAATCCATTTCCAATCTTAAACAGGACACTAACATTAAAATTCTAAAAGCCGATAAAGGCAACACTACTGTCATCATGAACAATTCAGAATACATCGACAAAATGAACGACATCCTTTCCGATAAAAAGAAATTCAAAGCCATCCCAAATAACCCAACAAACACACACGAAAAACAATTAAACAAAACTTTATTACAAATGAAAAAAGATAATTTAATTACTGATGATCTTTATTTTGATCTACATAAAACTGATTCATGCACACCACAACTCTACTGCATTCCTAAACCACACAAACAGGACTGCCCCCTATGACCTATACTGTCCACTTATGATTCATTCAACTACAATCTTGGCAAATACA